AGGGAGGGAGGGAGGGAGGGAGGGAGGGAGGGAAGGAAGGAAGGAAGGAAGGAAGGAAGGAAGGAAGGAAGGAAGAAAGAAAGAAAGAAAGAAAGAAAGAAAGAAAGAAAGAAAGAAAGAAAGAAAGAAAGAAAGAAAGAAAGAAAGAAAGAAAGAGGAAGGAAGGGGGGAGAGAGACAGAGAAAACTCTGTGCTATTATTTTTAATTGTTCCATTATTTATCATATATTAATATTTTACACTGTCCCTACACCTAGAGTGATTTTACTGCCTTTCTTTTGCCCAGGTACTTTTCAGGGTTTACATATCAATAGTCTAGACTCTAGGTCTCATTCATGCAGAGGTCTCATTCTTGCGGCCCGCGGGCCAATTGCGGCCCACAGGACGATATCCTGTGGCCCCCACCATGATATGAAAGTATAATATCCCTTATGTGGCCCAGCCTCACCCAGACTCTCATAATATCCCTTATGCGGCCCAGCCTCACCCAGCCTCTGCCTCCAGCGGCCCCCAGGTAAATTGAGATTGAGACCCCTGGTCTAGAGCATAAATACATGTGTGTTTAACAGAGTTGAAAGGGACTATGGAAGTCTTCTAGTCCAATCCCCTGCTCAGGCATGAAAAACTGAGGTCCTGGGAACAGTGTAAGAATAACACTTAGAAGGGACCTTGGGGGGAACCCTAAGCCATTTCAGAGAAATGGCCGTCCAGTCTTTTCTTAAAAACCTCCAGCGTTGAAGCACCCAGAACTTCTGGAGACAAGAAGGTCCATTGGTTAATTGTTTTCACTGTCTGGAAGTTTCTCCCTATTCTTAGTTTGCTTCTCTCTCTGTTCAGTTTCCATCCATTGCTTCTTGTTTGCCTTCTGGTGCTTTAGAAAATACATTGCCCCCCACCCTCTTTCTGGCAGCCTCTTAAAAGCCTATTGCCTATCACACTCTTGGGCAAAGCATGTGAGTCATTTCCTCCTTTCAGTGGTCCATGAAAGTACACCTATAGTACAGAGATAATAAAGTCAAAAAAATGGTGAACAACATTTTTACGGAACTATAGATATGTTGAGGCTGGGTGTGACAAGGAATGGCTGGGAGGGGAGGGGCCAAGTGAGGCACCCCTTGATGTGAGTGACATTGAGTTTGCCACACCCACCCAGTCGCATGCCCACCCAGTCACATGACCACCAAACGCCCGCCTGGTCACATGTCCACCAAGCCACACCCACCAAATAAGCCACACCCACAGAACTGGTAGTAAAAAATTTGAATCCCACCACTGGAGCACACATACTGTTTATGATGCAAGTTATCAGATTTTATACTTTTTCCTGCTGATGCCCTAGAAATGTAGCACAGCTGTTAATATATTTATAGGAACAATCTGCACAATGGCTGAAACAACAACCATAATCCAGAAAGAGTTTGCTACTAATGTTAGGGTTCTCAAAATCCAGCTAAGACCAATCCAATTACCTTCATATCTGTTGGTCAATACCATCCATCATGTGCAATTAGTTTAGCTAATCATCACATTGGTAGATGACAATGAGAATTACAATCCAGAATATCTGGATTTCAAAAAAAAGTAAAGCATACAGGATGAGGAGAAATAACACTCAGACTCAGCTGGGGAAGTGCTCTTCTATCCCAACTCTATTCTAAAATTGCAAAACCAAATGCTCCCACGATAATTTTCAGAGTATCAATCACTTATTAGACAAGGTAAAAATGAGTCCCAGAATGCTCAAGATTATATCTTTCACAGCTCTGATCGATCTCAAGCAGAGAAGATGTTGAAACTGCCAACAGCAGTGCCAGATCTACAGAGAGGGTTTTGGATATTGCCATTCCTCCTTGCACAATAATAACCTGCATCCTTCACTCTCTTAAAACAAATATGTATAATCATCATGATTAAAGAACCTTCAAATCTGAGGGCTGTAGGTCAATACCCTTGTTCAGGCATGATAATCAGTGACTGCCCTTCTCACAGTCTCCCATGTCCTGGCCATATAAATCTGTCTAATAAATTGTTTAATAAATTGACTTGGAATCAATCATATTATTTCTCCCCTTCACACTAGTGAACTTCACAGGATTTTTCTGTGGAAGGGGGGGAGCAGAGAAAACTACTTACGCTGTGTTGAATCTTACGAAGAAAATGTTATACAGGCAAATGACAAAAAAAGCAAACATTGAATTAAATTACAATCTGGACTTTGAAAATATTAGTGACCGTCATTTATTCAAACGGAACAGAATAAATTTTCCTTCTACTATCAGTACTCACCTAGAGAAACAACAGCAACACTCTCTGGCAAGAAATGCAGTCTGTATCTTATCAATAAATGCACCAATATGATGCAAATAGCTGAAGAGAAAGCAGACAATATTTAGAGTTATTTAACAACAAAATTCTTGATCAAACAAATTCTGCCATTATCCTTTGAATTTAAAATATGAAGCCTGAAAAAAGTTGAACATTCCTAAAAGAGAGCCAGTTAGTTAAATGCTATATAATAACTTTTTAATATTTTATATGGGCTTACGGGCACATATTTTTGTGAGTTCTGATCAAAAGCAATGTAACATAGTCATTATCATGTCATTATCATAGTCATGTCAGTTTTGGATAGAAGAAACATTGATGGCTTTGATCCAAACAATTCTTTTACATGACATATTGTATTTGGAAAAAGTCACTTCTAGGGATTAGTCTAGAACAGTTCACAATGAGATGTGGAGAAAAGAGCAAATACCTATTGGGGGAGGGGCAGTTAGCTGCTAGGAGGAAGAACCCTAACTTCTCTCATTTATGCAAGAAATCCTAGAATCCAAAGCTACGTATCCAATTATAAAAACTGTAAGTTCTTGCAATCTGTTATATTTTTAACTAACAATTCAGGACAACAGATTTTCTTCCATGTAAACATGGAAGAAAGTAGCATCACTAAAAATGAGATAGTTGGGTCAGAGGCAGCCAATATTTTTAGATCAGCAGGCATATTTTTTATTATGAGAATCTGTTGGAGCTCCTGTAGCAAAATACTTGCCATAATGGACATGGGGAACCATAAAAACACCTGTTTCCAGATGATCTCTTCCAGTATGGTCTCTGTTGTGGGCTCTTGATGCTTTCTGAACTTGGATGCTTTCTTGCAGATATTGCATTACCAAACTAGATAACAACATCAGTGCTAGAAGGGAGCAGGAGTTGTATTTGTCTGTATTTATAAAGCACATTTTTTTTTAAATTTGGCAAAATTTAACTGTTTTACCAACTGTCCCATCTTTCATATTAAGAAACATAAGTAAATTAATTGTCAGATCAGTTGTATGGTCATCCGCTACCTGGTCTATTTACTTTTCTATAAATAATTGAATTAACATTTTAAAAACTTAATGCTTTAACCTTAAGCTTCACCTTATTGCTTCTGAGAATTTTCCCACTGAATTAATATCATTGAACATTGTGAAAGGCCTCTAGCCAATATTTCTTAATATTTTGTGAGCACATAACAATATGAATATTACTCACTCATTTTCCTAGAAGCATGTGGCAATAAATCTAACAAAACTATACAATAACATCAACACAAGTAACATAGGCAAGCATCTACCCAGTTGTGAAATGTAATTATTCTTATGCATGTGGCATTGTGTTTTTTATTATTACAAAAGACTCTACAAAATTTAATGTTGCAAGGATTTCACTACTCATGATAAAGGCTGCTACAATTACAGTATACACCTAAATGGCATAATTTGTTTTACATATTAAACCTGGAAAACCAAGTCCCCATTCCTGTTGTTATTTGCATCTCACAATTGTGGAGTATTATTGACCACTTTTTCCTACTTATAACAATTCCTTGAAATAGAAACAATAGGTAAAATTCAAAAAAAGTGACTTATGATCGTTTTTCACACTTAAGACCGTTACGGCAACCCCATGGTCGTGTGATCAAAATTCAGATGTTTGGCAACTGACTCATATTTATGACGGTTGCAGTATCCCAAGGTCACGCGATCACCTTTTGCAACTTTCTAACAAGCAAAGTCAATGGAGAAGCCAGATTCATGTAATAACCAGGTTACCAACTTATCAACTGCAGAGATTCACGTAACAAGTTTGGCAAAAAAAAAAAAAAAAAAGGCCTAAAATGGAACAACGTTCACAAATGTTTCACTTAGCAACAGAAATTTTGGGCTCAACTGTGGTCATAAGCCGAGGACTGCCTGTACATCTAATGAGAACACGAAAAAGGGCCTTCTCAGTGGTAACCCATTCTTTATGGGACATCATTCCCCCAAGGTACAATTGTCCTCCCAACTTCTTGTTTTTTTGCTAAAAGCCCTAAAGCCGTGGTTTCTTAAGCAGGCCTGGAGACCACAAATGGGAAATGGGACCGATCAAGTGGCTGATTTCACTACCAGGAGGTGTGGGGATGTTTTTTTTTAATGGGTTTTTATTATAGGATGGATTTTTTTAAATGTTGCAAACGGCCCAGAGTCACCTATTTGAGTTGGGTGGCTATATAAATTTGTTAAAATAAATGAATAAAATTCTCAGAAAACAATTTTACTTAGCAAAATGTAGCAATTTTACTTGCAAATGTTACCCTGCACTACAGGTAGTCCTGGACTTACGACCACAAAAAAAATATGTTGTTAAGTGAGATATTTGTTCAGTGAGTTTTGCCCCATTTTGCAACCTTCCTTGCCACAAATGTTAAGTGACTGACTGCTTCCCCATTGACTTTGCTTGCCAGTAGGTTGCAAAAGGTGACCTTGGGACGCAGCAATGGTTGTAACTATGAACAATTTGCCCAGCGGCTGAATTTTGATCACATGATCATAAGGATGCTTCAAATGTCATGTGGAAAATGGTCGTAGGTCACTTTTTTTCAGTACTGTTGCAACTTTGAATGGTCACTAAATGAACTGTTGTCAGTTGAGGACTACTTGTACATTTCAGGCGTTTATTTTCATGGCATTTTTGTGATATAATTCATTCTGATATACATGGATACAGTTGTTACTTCTATCCAATTGATTCAAATCTGATGTGGTACACAAGTGAGAAAAATGAATCCAGATTTAAAAGGTTTTAAATCAACTTTCAGAAAAGCATTTTATGAGAAGATAAAACAACAACCATGCAAATTTGCCTGTCAAAAACTTTTATATTTTGCACAGCATATCAGGTAACCACAGCCATAACCCAATCAAAGAAGAAGTCACTTTTTTTCCCAATGAACTGGAAAAAAAATGCCCAACGCATGAAGTTATTTTATCCAGAGAGCATCCTAGTATGGAAAACACCAACCATGCACTGGATTTTACCTAAATAAATTACATTCTATCCAATCAATATATCAGAAGGTAAATACTAGTTTATTTTGGAGGAAGTTAACTTCTAGGAAATAGGCTCTCCTATTGAGATTTGAGAACAAATTGTCCTCTTGGTTTTAGCTTCTTTTATTTAGTAAACAAGCCCATCCCACAAAGAAATTGACACTTGCTAAAAGATAAACCTCTTATCAAACAAAAACAAACAAACAAATCTTTTTATTTATCTTCAGGAAATATAAATTAGTTGTTTTTTTTTTCTACTTCTGCTCTGTCAACGTTTTTAACTAACAAATAATTTCATCTTTAAGCAGCACATTTACACAATGGATCTATTTCATAAGTAGCAGTAGAAACAGTAAATATTTGTTTTAATCAAAAAATGTTTTGGAATTCAAAACTTGCAGGGCATCCAAACTAACAGCAGCCTCATACTAGTAACAATAAACCAAGGAGAAGCAGCCAACATTCACCAAAAAGGTGGTGGGGGAGGAAGGGGGTTGTAAGAAAGTCTGCAAAACTCCGCAAATGTCCCAGAAAAAAAAGAGAAAGCAGGGAATATTCTAATGAGTACGTTTAGCAAAGTTAGATAAATATGCAAGATATTAAAATATTTGATGAATTCATCAAACTAGGCCATTCCAGCCAGGCTTCTTCAAAAAGGTCTTATCCAGAATTGTTAACAGCATGAAAAAAAACACCAAATCCAGTGGAGATATAACTTCTTCTGACATGTCTATAATGGCCAGAACCACTCTTGCATAGAACAAGATGATGCATGGCATAAAATCACACGCTAAGACCATTTGGGGGAAATTGGACGTGGACAGAATCTGGACAACTCTGAACAAGAAAAATCTAACAGCAATTCAGCAATCAAATAACAACATCCTGTCTCAGGAGAAATGCAACTCAGGTCTCATGTGATAATGGGACTGCGTTTAGTACAGTAGAAGATATTATTGGACACAGCATGTGATATTACTGTGACAAGTGACACAACAGTCAAGTGAGAAAGACTCATTCAACAAGGGAAAAAAAGTTGCAAAGGAGAGAAAGAGATTACCCAAGTAGCCATGTTTGTCCATAACCAATTTTTTAGAGGTTATTTTGCTGTTTATTTCTCCATATCAATATTTTTTTTTAGAAAATTGTCTAGGGCATTTTTAGTAAGTCATTTGGCAATGGGGGAAGCCATACAAGGTCATATGCTTCCAAATAAATAAATATAGGCCTTCCATGCCCTGAGTGCTTTCCCACAAACACTGGACCTCAAGTATAATAATGTACCATCAAGAATAAGGTTTCCTAGCCTTTGGGGGGGGGGCATTGTTTCAAAAGCAGCATATTCAGCTTTAATTTGGACTGAATTTACCAGGTGTATTAGCTGGTTTAAGTAAGTTTCCAGGAAATACACTCATCATGAATTAAAAGGCTAATACAACTCCCTCTATATTGTCTGCATTGTCTGTCAATGGCTCCCAAGGTTTCATATAAGACATTTTTTTCCTGCCCAACCCAGTGCTGTCATGGATTGAATTGGAAAGGTATGTGCTCTATTGATGCTTTCTTAGTCACAGCTTTTTTTTTACTATTTGACCCTTCACCACACATAGTAAAAGGTCATTGCTGGGACGCACTCTGCAATCAACATCTACCAACCCATTTGCAAGCTGTCAATTACATTCAACCCTGGAGCTTGAATAATAACAAACCTTTTTGAGTAGTAGCATAACATTTTGCTGCACCTTATTTTCTCCGCCATATTTCAATATAGCCACTCCTACAAGCTCACAGTGCTTCTGCAAAGAATATCCTTTGGAATTTTCCTTGGGTTGAAGTGACACATAAATTGTAGGAAGGGAGAGAAGGAGTTGGTGATAATCATAGATAATGTCAGTTTGGTGTAATGATGATGGCATCAGTAGAACCAGGGAGATCAGGAGTTTTAGTCCTGCCTTAGCCACAAAGCCAGATATGGAGCCTTGAGTCTCTCTCTCTCTCAGCCCTAGGAAGAAAACAATGGCAGACTACTTCCATAGCTTTTGCCCAGAAAACTGCCCGGACTCATCTAAGTAGTTGCCAAGGGTCAACACTGACCCAAAGGCATTCTTCTCCAAAACCCTCCCCATCGAACTAGCATCTGTAGACCCTCCCACAAGAAACTTATTTTGTTGTGCCATATTTTATGAGCTTGTTATTACAGGTAGTCCTCGACTTATGACATTGTGTTTAGTGACCGTTCAAAGTTACACTGAATAAAGTGACATGACCATTTTTCACACTTGATTATTACAGCATCCCCATGGTCCTATGAACAAAATTCAGGTGTTTGGCAACTGACTTGTATTTATGATGGTTGCAGTATCCCAAGGTCACACAATCACCTTTTGCAAATTTCTGATAGGGAAAGTCAGTGGGGAAGCTGACTTATGTAACAACAGTGTTACTAACAACTGCAGTGATTCACTTAACAATTGTGGCAAGAAAGCTTGTAAAATGGAGCAAAACTCACTTAACAACTGTCTTTTGGACTCAATTGTGGTCATAAGTTGAGCACTACCTGTATAGAGGTAACACATGGGTACAAAACCACTGTCAGGAGGATAGTAGAACTGGCTGTTTTCAAAATAATTTTACCGTACTCGGGAATAGTTCATGATGCCAACTGTGAAAAGGAAAAATCTTTCTGCCATACAGTATATAGAGAGAGCACTTTCTTTCACAAGATTATCTTCTTTTTTTTCTTTAGCTTTATATATCACATTTAATGCTTTTCAAATATTAAGTTGGTCTTGTTGGCCAGACATTAATTCTCTCTAAAGGCAAAGGATAAAGCACTGTTTAAAAAAGATATGGACTATATTTATTCAATCCTTTTTTTCTTATACAGCAGGGGTGTCAGACTCAAGGCCCACAGGCAACATCCGGCCTGCAAAGTGCTTAAATTTGGCCCATGGGGCCAGCCTGGAAATAGCAAAGGATTGGTCTATGGTGTATGGCAGCCAAAATGGGGCACAGGGGTTGGGAATGACGGGCAGCCCCCCGCATCCCATTTTGGCTGGCAGGATGCTGGAGGTGTCTGTCCCATCTCCCATGCTCCCCAGCCGGCTGGCCTGCAGAGGAGAAGTACAATGCTGATCAGGCCTTGAAGAAATCCAGTTTGACACCCCGGTATTGTTTCACATGATACCTCATGAGATATCATCATAGATTTTTTCCCCAGAATAATTCCCACACTTACAAAAAATCAACATTATTAAAATAGAAACTGTAATTCAATTCAACCAAAATGCACTAGGCTATGATGGTATAAACAATCATTCAAACTGACAACCAGATTTTCAGGATAAACAAAGCTTACAAACTGTTTTGGGAAAATACAACCAGAAACAGTAATGGAAAGCTAAATAATATATACAGACTGTATAAATATATCTTTCATATAGAATTACCCAGTTCACATAAAGGTAAATTGAATCAAGAAAAAATATCAAAGAAAAGGAAATAAATAACTCTATGATGCTATGAAAATCTAGTGAAAGAAAGGGCTAAAATATTCTCTCTCATTATTAGATAAATATTTTCTCTATTATATTGTTAGTAATATGTATCATTATTTTTACACTTGGGGCTCTCAAAAACTCAGAACCAAAATTTAATGGATTTGCTTTAATGGATCCCAATCCTGGGAACAATTTTTTCTAGGTCAGCTATGTCTAGATTACACAATTTCATATTATGAAGAGGCTCATTCTATAATTCTAGACTATTTACTCAAAAAGATGTCACCTTCAGTTCACGAAGAAGTAGGAACAGAAGTAAAATATGATAGTCCCTTCTGCAAAATAAAGTTCAAGGAAAAATAACAGAAACATGCCCTTTACATTCCAAGTGCAATTAAGGTACAACACCCTGTAATTTTATGTCTGGAATTGAGAAAGCAATTGCAGGATTTAATTAAGTAGAATATAGCTATGTACTCAGGTTACACACTGTCATGGTTGAATAAAAGATGACGCAATTTTCTTTCAAAATTAATTCAATAAGCTACATGGGTTTAGAACATTGATCTGCTCCATTCAGGCTACACACAATTCTCTGTAATGGAATTTTTATAAGTGATTAATTTATACAGGGAATTCCTGTGTATTTTGTTTTCTAGAAGCTACCATAAACATACAGAGCATCAATGTAAACATACACACAAATAACCTTCTTTCTGGAAAGATCATTAATTTTAGGACACTCACATAGTTCAAATTGGCAGTGATCCCATTCTAATCTTGTTCAACTAATTCTCTTAACAATAACATTTCTAAAGGATGATATAAATTTTTCGTACACATTGAGAGATGCACAAAAAAAGCAATTACATGAAAACTAAAAAGTAGGTTTGTATTGCATGTATATTCTTATAGGGATCTTTCTTGTTAGAACACTTAAGCTGTGATTTTAGTCAAACCTAGGAAAAAGGGCTGAAGACACTTATTGAAACTCATATTCTTTATACCAAGAACCTGAAATAGAAGCCCCAACAAAAAGTCAGAAATTCTTAGTGACCTAAATTTGCCTTACAAAAAGCAAGTGAGCATTGTACTCAAAATTCACCTGAACACCCACTTCTTTGGTGTTGGCTTTATGGAGCCGTGGGGTGAGACCTGGGCTGATGTGTGACAGCAGCGCCTTTAGCTGCACTCACCTGTAAGTGTCAAAATAATCCAGCGAAGACACCAGAGGAGTTGCTCAGGTAAACCACCCCCCTACGCAGTCCTCCTCCTGCAGAAAACAGCCGCTCCCTGAGCTAAGAAGGCAAGGAGTTGCGACTCGACTCACTCAATTCCTAGGACTACCCTAAATGGCCCCAATTCGGTGAGGAGAGGGCGGCTCCCCCTGGCAATCCCCCTTTCTCTCAGTGCTCTGACTTCCTGTGGCCCACCGGTCTGAATGCCGGGTCAGACCACTAGAAGGACACTTACCCGCTTCTCAGCGGTGCTCCCCCCACCTCCTTCCCCAACTTCTCCCTCAACTTCAAAATGATGACGCCTGTTGCCAACATGGGTGCGACTGGGCGGGCATGGTGGAGCCAACCAGGGGCAATTGTTCCGGGTCCAACAAAGGGGCTGCGGGTAGGAGAGGGAAGGGATGGCAGGCAAAGGGGCCATGGGGGCGGCAAAGAGTTATGCTCCCTAGTCACCCACCCACCTGCAGTCCAGCAGCCGCACCGAAAAAAGCACGCAGCAGCTGCAGGCATCTCGCAACAAAGGGTGTGAGAAGTCCTGGGACATCCGCCCACCCACCTGCTGGCTGGCCGGGCCGGGCTGGAAGAGGCGCGTCTGCTGGGAGAAGGAAGAAAATGTGCTCCAGGAGGGCGGGCAGGCAGGCGGATGTCCCAGGGCTGCTGCACATGCGCACTGCATGTGTAGCAGCTGCACACACAGTGCGCATGTGCAGCAGGCCTGGGATATCTGCCAAGCTGCAGTATGGCCGCCACATGGTAGGGAAAGCTAGGAGAGTGACCAGGACAAGTGGGCAACCGGGCGACCGGGTCGGGGGCGTGGCCAGCCAGGGGTCGCCACCGGTTTGACAACCCATGCCAAATCACCGGTACCAGTTCACCCGAGCCGGTGCGAACTGGTTGAATACCTCTGCTACATATTATATTAAATCATAATTAATGATTTACAAATTTTACACAACATGGCTGAACCAAAAGGAAGAATGCAGCCTTTAATTGCAGTTACACATTATACGACTTAAAATATTTACATTTTCATGATTTCTATGCAGCCATCAGCTCCTTTCATGTGCAACCATAGTAGTTTGCTAAATAGTTAGAGTAGCCAATGTGGCACAGGTTACATTTAGCTAAATGTGCTATTTAACACATAGGATGATGCTATTTCCAGAAGATTTAAGCTTCACATAATGCACTAAGACCCATGGGCACACAAAATGGTTTGTGACAGATGAGATCATCAAGAATCTGTAAATATTTAGCAAACCACAGATAACATTTGCCAAAATCTCCTGCATGGGGAATTAAACAAGATACAGATCACCCATGAGCCACATGGGATTTTTGAATTGCTGATTTCATATCTCATTTGGTTACTCATATCCCATTCTGACAACACAAATGAACACTGACAGTACAGTTTTCCATCATAAGAGGGAAATCAAAACTCTTAGAAAAAGTTGCAACTCTCTAACCGCCCACACCCTGAGAAAAAGCTTTCTGGAAACTTATGGGTATACTTATTCATATAGCAAAATCTTTTCAAATTCAATTTATCCGAATGAGTAACAAAATGGAAAAAAAATCCCTCATTCCTAAAGTGTGGCTTTTGATAAATGAAATATTTTCTGTTCCTGCTCTAACCATGTGAAATTTGATATTCCTGCTACTTACTTATATGCAAAAGCAAAAAAATAAAGAGCTAAAGGAGTCCCTGTGGATTTTTTTCTGCTGGTCACTGCCAACTATAAGGGGTGGTGCTCTTATCCGTTTTAAGGCCATTAAGCCAATGCTGTCTGACGACATTTCCATGATCATATGGCCAGCACGACATCACAGAGCGCTAGTACCTTCCCACTGAAGTGGTACTTATTTATCTACTCTAATTTGCACACTTTTGAATTGCTAGGTTGGCAGGAACTGGGGCAACAATAGGAGCTCACCCTGTCATATGGTGCTCAGATCTTGAACCTGGGCTGTCAGCTTTCCAGCCAACCAGCCAACAAGTGTCTTAACCACTGAGTTACTGCACAACCCTTCATGAATAAAAGCGTATGAAAATTTTATTTCAGAAATGTTCACACCTGCTTCCTTCTACCTTGGAAATTAAAAAACTCTTCCATTCCACTTTTTCTTCATACTGGCATTACAGATCAGAAAGCATAACTGGAATTGTGTTTCACAACCTTCATTTTTCCATGACTATCAAAAGTAATTAATAAGAGATTACCTAGTACAAGGAGACTAAAGAATATAGTCATGCCACTTGACTGTTCTTCTTGTTGAGCCTGGACGCCAGTTTGTACTGGAAGGATTGGTTTGGCAGGTGTAGGAAGCACTAGTTTTGTGGTGAGGGCCAGGGTGGTATGAAGGGTGAAATTGAATACATCATGGGTCACATTTGGGAAGCTGTAAGAGAACGCAAACCCATGTCAGACTGCGTAGAAACAGAACTAAAAATAAAAACAATGTCTAAAACACAGAAAACTTGGAAAAACTATTATTTAAGAAACAACTGCCTAACATTAACCCGTCTGAAAAGAATTGTGCTTTATTATAGGTCTTAGATAATTGCAGCATAAATACCATGACTCCAAAACCTCTTGGGAAACTATTGCAGTGAAATGATTAAAATAACTGCGTGTGAAGAGTACAGTACCTGAAGGAACATTTACTGCTTTAAAGAGTAAAGGCATCAAAGCAAAATAGAAATAAAGATAAAGATACCTACAAGTACATAACTAGATTCTAGAAAAAAACAGAGTGCCTAAGAGACTGAACTTCTTCAGGAGGACTGAAGAGTGCATATTATATTTCAAAATTATCAGTAATAGCTATGGGATAGTTATTATAGTGTATACTGTACAGCTCTTATGGCTCTCCAAGGAACAGACAGTACACTCAGATGTCCTAAAATTTAGTACAAAACCAAGCATACCTCAAAATCCAAAATCACGAGAAAACAGTCAAAATTGGACAATTTAAAGATGAGTTCTTTAAAGCCTTTATTTTGATTCAGATTTTCTTCACAGCTACAGTTCTACATTCTCATTACCCCTTTGCTTACATGCTGACAAAAAGGGTTAGGGTTAGGATTTCTGAGTTTTGCATTCCATATGCGATGCAAAAAAATATTGCTAATTCACAGTATACTCATGCTAATATGCTGAATAATGCAGGAAAGAATAACTGAGTTAGATATGCCCTTGACTGTTTGTCTTGCATAATATGATAACATGCAGTGAAATTATATAACTAAGGTCATTATCATACAGCCTCAACAATAAGATATGTGGATTTGTATTGAGCATCCAGTAACACTTGTCTAATTCTGGGTGAGGCAGGGGCAATGTAATGACTTTTGCCTCAGATTTCAGCAAGGTACTTAGAGAATTATTGATTTCTCTTACAGAACCAAGAGTTTTTCTCTAAAAGAAAGAACATTAGTGATCTTGTATCACATCTAAAACAACTAGTCCTTAAATGAAGGAGTGTGTGGTCCAAGGAGGCTTGATGCATGTGTGGTACTGTTTGATTTCAATTCCTATCAACTCTGGCAACCTTGATGGAGTTTGCAGCAATGTAGTTCAGAAATATCTGATAAACAGTACAAACAAGAAACAAGAATCATGGCACATCTAATTGCAGGAAGATCATATGAAAAATGTTTTTAATTGTTTTCTGTGACATACAATAGGGATGGAATTAGATGATTTTGCCACATCAGTAAAAGAATAAGCAATAGAGATAAATATGTCTTGGTACTTCTATTCATGCACCATGATACAACTATTAATTTAAAAGATAAATTTTAAAAAAAAACTGGCAGTCCAGGTTGAAATATTGAAAATTTACTTCTTCATACACAACAAAAATAAAAATGCATGAAAACCCAAAACAGTGAAGTTCGAGAGCAAAGAGCTTTCACAATGTACTAGATCAAGAGTAAAGGTAAAAAATGTTTGTGATCAATTATCCCAGAGAGGAGAAAGACTAACTGTACATATTAATCTACATCCCCCTCTAAACATGGATAATTATTTTTTATTTTGTATCCTCTTCTAACGCAGAGGATAGTATGATTTTTAGCATTAGCACTGAATGTCTATGGAGATTCTCAGTCATCCAGATCATGGTTGTCCCAAAGGTACTTTTTTCAAGAGGCAACTGGACTTCCTTGGTTTTTTCTGAAGACATTTTGCTTCTCATCCAAGAAACTTCCCCATCATCCAGTCAGAACTGAAGAAGCTTCTTGCATGAGAAGCTAAACATCGTCAAAAAAAACAAAAAAAAACAAGGAAGTCCAATTGCCTCTTGAAAAAGCACCTTTGGGACATTAGCACAGAAGTAAATAAAAGAATGACATATTCTTGAACCTTAAACACTTCTCTGCATTGAAAGTCTGCTTCTTTTATCATGGCTTGAATAAAAAGCAATTGGCATGCAAGCAAATCACATTTCTGATACAGTACATGAGGTCAACTGGGGACAATCCATGGATGAACAAAGTGTTGATTTGGGCTCAAGGCACTAAGGTCAAAATTATCTTCTCTTATTCATGATAATTAATGTATGAACTATTTCATTTTATTCATTCAATGTTGAGAACAGTTTGTGGAAGGATAGACAACCTAGCATCTTCTACCGTAGATATTTTGGAGAAAAATTCCCCAAATCAAGCAAATATTTTTTCAACTAAAAGATATAGAGGACTCCAGATTAGCTACCCTTATTTTATTGATCTTTGTTTTATGTCTCCACAAACTGACTCTTGGCAATTGCCTGGACAGGTCCTTGTAGTTTTTTGCATAGTGGTTTTCCTTTTTAGGGCTAAGGGACAATATCTGGCCCAATGTTACCCCAGATAGCTTTGTGCCTAATGCAAAAGTAGAATACACAATATTCCAATTTCTAGCCTGGTACCTTAATCATTACACCAAAGTAACTTTTTTTATTTAGGTCCATAGACTAATAAGTATATTATTCTCTGTGCTGGTAGTTATATTTATATATAAAGTTTTGTTTGGCAAATTTCAATTTTCAATTCTATGATACCTTCGATATCCCAAACATATCCATATATCCACATTCAATATAAAAATACCAAGTATTTTTAACAATAAAAAATGCAGGAAACATTTCATATAAGACCAATTGTGTTTGTTCATATTTTTCCACTAATGCAAAGTCTGAAGTAATGCTATAATTCTTGCGCTAATATCCAATAAGCAAAACAGGATTCTATTTTTTTAATTATCATTGTAACCTGTAAGTTTCATTGCAACTTTCTTTTCATAACCTGGCAATATATCTTTCCTCTTCCACTTAGGTTGCTCTGCTTACAAATCATTATCATATCATGGTCAATATTTATTTATTCGTATCCCACCTTTATTATTTTTACAAATAACTCAGTAACTCCTATTTCCCCCACAACCACCCCATGAGAAAGTGTGTGACTGGCTCAAGGTCACCCAGCTGGCTTTCACAGATAGCTAAGGCAGGACCTGAATTCAGAGTCTCCTACTTTCTAGCTTGCTGGTAAAACCACAAGGCCAAAACTGGCTCTCCTATATCAATAGCTTAACCCAAAGATGTTTTTTCAAGAGGCAGCTGGACTTCAGGGCTGAAGAAGCTTCTTGAATGAGAAGCGAAACATCTTCAAAGAAAAAAAAAACCAAAACCAAAAAGTCCAGTTGCCCCTTGAAAAAAAAGCAGCACAACCTGGATGATTGAGAATCTCCATAGGAATCAATAGATTAACTTTTACATTTCCTGAAACTTGCCTGAGAAATGACGCAGCCTTCCACGCCTCCAACACTGAAGACCCCTTTCAACTTCTTCTCCCAAAGATGCTTTTTTGCACCTTTGGAACAACTATGACCTGAGAATGACTGAGAATCTCTACAGACTTTTAGCTTAACAATTTGGAATGAACACCCCTTGAATGGTGTGGGAGTAGGAATGGATTTCCAGAGGGAAAAATTGCAGATTACAGGAACTAGGAGCACTACTCAGGTGACTCTGAGGACACAGATAGCAATAACAATAGCACTTAGATTTATCTACAGCTTCACAGTGCTTTACAGCCCTCTCTAAGTTGTTTACAGAGTCAGCCTATTGCCCCCAACAATCTGGGTCCTCATTTTACCCACCTGGGAAGGATGAAAGGCTGAGTCAACCTTGAGCCTGGTGAGATTCGAACTGCCAAATTGCAGTCAGCAGAAGTAGCCTGCAGTACTGCACTCTAACCACTGTGCCATCAAGGCTCATAAGATAAACCTCCAAGTGCTTCAACAACCCTCTAAAACAGGGGCCTCCAACCTTGGCAACTTTAAGACTTGTGGACTTCAACTCCCAGAATTCCTCCTCCAGTCATGTTAGCTCAGGAATTCTGGGAGTTGAAGTCCACAAGTCTTAAAGTCGCCAAGTTCAAAGACCCTTGCTCAAAAAGGATGCAGATTACCAGCTGTCTGTAAGTAATATAAATCCTTCCATTCCCCATTATCCTGACAGAGCTGAAGAAGCTTCTTGGACAAAAGGTCTTCAAAAGAAAAAACAAGGAAGTCCAGTTACCTCCTGGGGAAAAAAACACACACACACCTTTGGGATAACTATGACCAATTTCTTGTTTACATCTGCAGGGGACGGGACAGCATCACCCTTCCCCCCCCCCCCCCCCCCCCCCCGGCCCTCCCCCCCCCCCCGCCCCCCCCCCCCCCCCCCCCCCCCAGCCTTCCCCAATCAGGGCTTCTTCAGACGAGCTCGATTCCGTCTCCCCACCAGCAATGACAGCCAAGGTGTCAGGAGAGTCGTACGTGTGTCACCCAAAGAAGAAACCTGCTTGGAAAGGCCAGGATGGCAGGTGGGATCGTAACCTCCCATATCTGGAAAGGCCCGGGGGAGGGAAGGAAATGACACGAGATAAGAACGACTGCTCTGTGGGGGATTCCGTTAAGGACGGGCCGGCGTGGATTTCCCCTCACGTCATTTTAGGCTAATGATGGGGTGGAAGCCTCGCGGCCTTTCACCCAGCGCAAACCACCACTACCACCACCTCCTCGGGAATTCCCCACCTCCACGCCTAGAGCCCTTAAAGAGAAACCACTCACTCCGTTTGCGCCATTCTTCAGCTCTTTAACGGTGAGGGGGTGGAAAAGAATTATCTTATTTCTTTCCGCCCTCCCCCACCCCCTCCGCAACCTAGAGCGTTAGAACTCCACTATCCGAGGCCGACTTCCGGGGTTCTTGTTTGCGACGCTCTGGAACTGGCATGGCGCATCTCTATGGCAAGCAAGACTCCGTGTAGGAGCGGAGTGGGGGGAGTTGGGGTACAGCGCCAGCTCTTTCTCGGTAATTACATCATCGGCGCGTTACATCATGACCCGGATTTGCATATCCGGCCGCGTCATTTCTCCAGCTGTTCAGGAGGCTTCCGAGCAGAGGCACCTCGCCTGCTGCTCAGGTGTGGCCGTTAAGTGGGAAGGAAGGACTCTTGGTGTGGAAAGCGAGAAACTTTTTGACGAATCAATCAAACAGGATTACTTAAGAGTAACCTGACCAGGGCGTAGTCAATCCAATTTTCAGGATTAATCTGAAACGACAAACCATGTTATGTTTGAATTACCATTCATATTCATATTGAATTACTCTTCATACTCTACATAAACGACCTCTGTGATCATATTAAGAGCAATTACGTTCTCTTCGCTGATGATGTAAAGCTGTTCAATACCACAGACAATACTGCTACCCTACAAAAAGATCTTGACTATGTATCAGAGTGGTCAAACAAATGGCAACTTCAAATCTCAACAAATAAATGCTCTGTCTTACATATTGGCAAAAAAAATCAGAAAATAAAATACAAGCTGAATAGTCAAGATCTTGTTGATGACCCAAGCTCTGTAAAGGACCTTGGAATACTCACCTCTAATGATCTAAGTGCTAGAGCCCACTGCAACTACATAGCCAAAAAGGCATTAAGAGTTGTTAACCTAATCCTACGTAGCTTTTTCTCTGGTAATATCACACTACTAACCAGAGCATACAAAACATTTGCTAGACCAATACTCGAATACAGTTCATCAGTCTGGAACCCACACTACGTATCTGATATTAGCACAATTGAGAAAGTCCAGAAATATTTCACAAGAAGAGTTCTCCACTCCTCTACTCGTTGTAGAATACCTTATGCCACCAGACTTGAAATTCTAGAACTTGAAAACCTTGAATTACGCCGTCTTCGGTCTGACTTAAGCATGGTATATAAAATCATACATTGCAATGTCCTACCTGTCAATGAATACTTCAGCTTCAACCATAACAACACAAGAGCACGCAATAGATACAAACTCAAAGTAAACCGCACCAAACTTGATTGCAGGAAATACGACTTCAGCAATAGAGTGGTCAATGTCTGGAATACTCTACCCGACTCTGTAGTTTCTTCCCCAAACCCCAAAAACTTTAACCTTAGACTGTCTACTATTGACCTCACCCCTTTCCTAAGAGGCCTGTAGGGGGCGTGCATAAGCGCACCAACGTGCCTACCGTCCCTGTCCTATTGTTTCTCTTATTCTTTTATTTTTCTTATATGTACCCATTTCATGTATTCACAACTATGTATACATTTATACTTATTATCTTGTAAACAATTGGCAAATCAAATAAATAAATAAATAAATAAATAAATAAAATAAATATTAGATAAATCCAACCACTGACTGGATTCTCACAACCTACTGTGGTTGTTTAAATTGTGCTCTGTGTAGAATTCCGGCTTAGTTCTTTTTCTGCCTTTTAGACAGCTTTTGATTCCTGGGGAACTACACAAAAAATGTCCCTGGAGTTTTCTCAGCAAGGTTTTTTGAAAGCGCCATTGGTTTTAACATTTATAGGATAGTGTTTTAAAACCAAGTACAGGTAGTCCACAACTTACAACAGTTAATTTTGTGACAATTCAAAGTTACAATGGCCCTGAAAAAAGTGACTTGTGACCATTTTTCAGACCATTGGAGGATCCCCATGGTCATGTGATTTACATTCAGATCCTTGATAACTGGTTCACATTTATAACCATTGCAGCAGGGGTGGGATGCTACTGGTTCTGTCTGGCTTTATAGAACTGGTAGCTCTGAAGTGCAACAGACTGGTTCTGTGTTCGCTGCTGTTTGACCCACCCGCCCACCTGGGCTCTTACCTGTCCTGTATTTCCCTCTTTTTCAACCTCAGCTGCTTTGTGCAGCACAGCTGAGGTTGAAAAAGCAGTAAAAAAGTGCTTTTTCAAGTGCTGTGCATCTGCGTGCAGTGCTTATCAACTGTCCGGCCGCCACAGCTTTAGGTGTATTACACGCATGTGTGCAAAGTGCGCATGCAAATGCAAAACATAATCACTGAACTGGTGGTAACACCGGTTGAATCCCACCTCTGGATTGCAGTGTCCAGGGCCATGTGATCATCTTTTGTGATCTTCTGACAAGCAAAGTCAATGGGAAAACCAGGTTTATTTAACAATGGTGTAACTAATTTCAGAATCAGAATACAGCTGGAAGGAACCTTGGAGGTCTAGTCCAGCCCCCTGCTTAAGCAGGAGATCCTATACCATTTCAAACAACTGACTGTTCAGTCTCTTCTAAAAAACATCTGTTGATGTAGTACCCACACCGTCTGAATTTAACAATTGCAATGATTCACTTAACAAATGTGGCAGGAAAAGTCATAAAATGGGGCAAAACTCAACAAATTTCTCACTTATGACCACTATTGAGCCCAAATTTTTGCTCCTAAGTCGATAACTATCTGTACTACCCATAAGAAGTATGTGGCAATTTGCATCATTGCATTTTCCATGGTAAGAATGAAAAGAAACCATGTTTGCACTACATGTTCACACAACATGGAAGTCATAAATGGACAAATCACAATATGGGTTAATATATGTGAACTGTTTAATTATTTTATGGTAATCTGAATTATAATTTAAAACCCTGGTCTAAATACATTGTTGGAGATATTTCACTCTGAGAAAGATAAATCATTAGAACATTTTAAGTGAAATGGAAAGCAAACTAAGATTGAAAATGATGTATAGGAAATTTAGAGCAGTCAAAGGTAAGTTCTTTTCATAGGTAAGTATGGAAAGATTTGATAGCTATGTATAAGTTTTTAAAAGATTATTTTAGACCAAATGAGCAAAAGAATAGAAGTGTTCCATCACCTGAACTGCATGGGTGGTAGACTTATAGGCAAGAGACTTAAACAAGAGGAGGCTGCTATTTATTCTTTTTTTAAAACAAAAACAAAAACCCTTTTTATTACTTTATAAGTAACTGGAAGCAGTGAGTTGGCAAAACTTTTGAAGGTGAAAGGAAACAAACCATTACAAAGCAACACAATTACAAAATTAAAATAAAAGCCTACAGTATAATAAAAAGTTGGATTAAATTGAGAGAGAAGATATTATAGACAAGGGAACTTGATGTTTCTGATTCAATAATATTGCATTAATTGCTCTTAACTGGTCCAGTAACTTAGCAGCAACAGGAGGAATATGCAAAAGTACTGAACTTTTCAAAGAGACTGGATTCATGCATAGTATTCATAGGTTGTTTTAACTATTAATTAATTTGCAATTGGCTAAATCTGCACAACATGCTAAACTATAGACCATGGTTTAAAACTATACTGACAGAGTACATACAATTTGTCAAGTCAAAATCAATCAAATCATATTATGGCTTAGCACAATATTTGAATTCTGTTGTTTTAATTCTTCTTTGTACATCATGCCACATTATTGAAACAGATATGCATTTTTGGCTTACTTACCTAAGAATAGAAAATGAATAAAACCACAGACAAACAACAGGTTTACCCCAGCTCTGGGATTTTCTCCAAATTTATCACAGCAATGCATAAAAGTAATCATTTTTGCAGAAGAGTTTCTATATAGAGCTTTCATTTGTGGTTGTCTGCTATGCAGTTAATAAGCATTTATTAAACATGCTAGCCAGGGGTGGGATTCAATTTTTTTAACAAGCAGTTCTGTGGGCATGGCTTAGTTGGTGGGCGTGGCCAACTCAATATCAATCACTCACATCGAGGCACGCATCTCGCCTGGCCTCTCATGACTGTGGGGATGCTGCAACAGTCATAAGTGTGAAAAATGGTCATGTCACTTTTTTCAGTGCCATTGTAACTTTGAACGGTCACTCCACACAAGCAAAGTACCAGCAAAGGAGGGGGGAAAACTCCGGAAATGTTCCTGAGAGAGGAAGCCTAGTCCTGCCAAGAATGTAATAAGGGTTAATAGAGAGGCAGTTTCTGTAAGCAACACCAGAATGTTTCCTTCCTGCCTTCCTTCCAGGATTAGGCCAGTCATTTCTTCTAACAACTGGTTCTCCGAACTGCTTAGAATGTTAACAACCAGTTCTAGAGAATAGGTGCAAACTGGTAGAATCCCACCCCTGATGCTAGCTGAATTATTTTTCTTAAATACAGTCAAGAATTTCCTCCTCCAGTGCTAAGATGTGGTAGTAAATTAGTTGTGTTTGATCTAGGTAGTCTAAACAGATTCCCCTGATAGAATATACAGAATTCTGAGTAAATAATGTAGACCAGAGATGTCAAACTCAATTTCATTGAGGGCCACATCAGGGTTGTGTTTGATTTTGGGGGGATCAGGAGGGTGTGGCTAGTGGGTATGGCCAGCTTGAGGTCAGAAGCACCTCGTGTCAGAAGCACCTGTGATGGCCCGAGTGCTCTGCCAACGAAAATGGGCTCCTGAGCTCTGTTTTCGGCTGCGACAGCCTCCTACAACCCTCTGCCAGCAAAAATGGAGCGTGGGGGGACCGCGTGCAACCCACGCCCCAAGCCCCATTTTTGGCCACAACAGTCTCCTGAAGCCTTACCCAAGCTCCATTTTTGCTGGCAGAGACACCGTGGGCCATTCCTTCGCTGTTTCGAGGGCAGCCCCATGAGCTAGATCTATGCATCTCGATCCAGCCCGTGGGCCTTGAGTTTGACACCCCTGACATAGACAGTCAAACAAACAAAAAATTATCTGCATTGACATTTTTAATCTTGCAGGAAAATGCTAGGAATAAGAAAACCCAGGCATAGAATATAGAAAATAATTAATCCTTCTTTAATACACATTGCAGAATATTTGGTATTGTCAGCTATTTAAATGAAGTTATTTGTCAGCCCCTTTCCTCATATAGTTTATCTAAAATTTGGGAGACAGGAAGTGTTCTGATTTTCTGTTCTTTCTGATACTTCTGATCTTTCAAAGATGTAAAATACTCAAAATTTGGACT